TTTTACCACAGTGCTACAGATGAGTGGTCTGCTGAACTGCAGACACCAAAGGACCATGGTTCCATATCAAGTGTCAGAAGCTCTACCCCAAACCACCTCCAAGCATTTAAGAGTCAACTATATTTAAACAAGAGAATAAAAATAACATTTAAAATATGTGACCTGCTCAAAAATAATACTTAATGTTACCAAAAATTGGCAGTTTCCTTGATTTACATGCCACATACACAAGCTGTATGCTGTCATCAAACGTTACATATATATAGTAGCCATACTTCTTAGAATATGATTTAAAGCACTCAGTAAATGTTAATAAAACACCAATTTTACTTTATGAGCACTAAATCACAGTCATTGGTAAAAATTCATCTAGTAAATATAAAACTCAAAAGTTTCAGGAAGCTAGGTCATCTGTAGGCCCCTCAAGAAGATACTTACTCATTTACTACAGTCTGAGAATTACTGAGCTAAATCATCTTCACAGTTCTTTCCACTTCAGAAAGCATATGACTCAAAGTGTCCAATTTAATTAGAATCTTAAGTTTCTCAATTGAGAGTCCCTAGTAACACTACAAGCACCAATACTTTGGCCATCTCATTCGAAGAGCTGACTCACTGGAAAAGACCCTGATGCTGGGAGGGATTGGGGGCAGGAGGAGAAGGGGAAAACAGAGGATGAGATGGTTGGATGGCATCACCGACTCGATGGACATGAGTTTGAGTAAACTCCAGGAGTTCATGATGGACAGGGAGGCCTGGCGTGCTGTGGTTCATGGGGTCGCAAAGAGTTGGACACGACTGAGCAACTGAACTAACTAATACTACTACAAAGATTTCTACATGTTTTTAAAATTTTATTCTCTTCTAAAAAGTTGTTTATATAATCACTTTTTAATACAACAAAAGATCTTGACCTTTAAGAGACTTTATAACATAGTTTTCTCTGGTAATAGCATAGTATACAAGACATTCAAAAGACAGGACTTTCCTTAATGTAAGGAATTTTTTTTAATCTACTTCACTTATTTGGTTTACCTCAATCTATTTATAAATATTTGACCCCTGCACTTAAAGGATTTCTGAGTAGTTAATTTCCAAAGTGTTATGAATTCTGCACTTTTACAAAATATTTTAATACATATATTAAATGTAAATGTGTTCTGAAGTATATTTAGTATAAAGATGCAATTAATATTTTTTAGTATTTACTACTTAAGACATACAGCACTACCACAAAAACAGAACTATAAACAATAAATAAGCAAATGAATGTTTTAAAAATAGGAAGCATAATCTCATGTAGAAGAAGAAAATTAGGTGGACACTAAAGTCAACTGAGTCCCAGCTTTCACCGCCTCCACCAAGACTACAAGTCATCTCAGTCAGTATCTGTATCTCTCACTCTTCTAAACCATCTCATATCCTGCTTCCAGATTCATCCTGTCCACCTTCATAAAACTATTCAGTGACATACCACTGTCTACAGAATCAAAATCTGTAGTTCAAAATCCCTGGTCTGACACTCAAAGACTTCCATAAGTTTGGTCTCTATCTGCCACACTGATCATTATTCTTGTAAACAACATTCAGTTCAGTTCAGTCGCTCAGTTGTGTCCGACTCTTTGCGACCCCATGAACTGCAGCATGCCAGGCCTCCCTGTCCATCACCAGCTCCTGGAGTTTACCCAAACCCATGTCTATTGAGTCGGTGATGCCATCCAACCATCTCATCCTCTGTCGTCCCCTTCTCCTCCTGCCCTCAATCTTTCCCAGCATCAGGGTCTTTTCAAATGAGTCAGCTCTTCGCATCAGGTGGCCAAAGTATTGGAGTTTCAGCTTCAGCATCAGTCCTTCCAATGAACACCCAGGACTGATCCTCCTTTAGGATGGACTGGTTTGATCTCCTTGCAGTCCAAGGGGCTCTCAAGAGTCTTCTCCAACACCACAGTTCAAAAGCATCAATTCTTCAGTGCTCAGCTTTCTTTGTAGTCCAACTCTCACATCCATACATGACTGCTGGAAAAACCATAGCCTTGACTAGACAGATCTTTGTTGACAAAGTAATGTCTCTGCTTTTTAATATACTGTCTAGGTTGGTCATAACTTTCCTTTCAAGGAATAAACAATATTACCTTCCAATTTTTCTATGCATTTTCCCCTGAATAAACCCTGTGCAATTAATTCAGCTTTTAGCCTTGCCTCTTGCCATCCTCCCTTCCTAGAATGCTCTCCTTCCTCGCTTTCAATCCCGTGACCCCTATACCCTATTCATAGTTTGTGTTCTCTTAAGAAACCTTTTCTAACTACCCCAGTGTATGGCAACCACCCAATTTTCACAACTTGTATAACTACGCCTTATGTCCCTCATTTGACACTTCAAAAATGCTTATTACTGCCTTATCTATCCAGCCCTGTATCTAGTCTTCTCAAAACAAACATAATTCAGACAGACTACATTTTATATCTCTTAACATCCCCTTCACTGGCCACAGCACTTTGCACAAAGACTGCACTCAAAAGAAGCTAACTAATACTATCTTAAAAACTAGTGCACACAATTAGGTTTTATACAACACTGCCACCACATACTGACATGTTGCTTTATATTTTCAAAGAACTTTCTGGTTTCACTAGATCACACTGTCCCTCCCAAGCAGGCAGGATGAGTATTCTTGTTTATGTATTTTTCACTGAAGTAGAATAGTTGCCTCAATATTTTAGATGGTAAAAATGAGATTCAGAGAAAGTACAAATCCAAAATTACTCAACAGCCTGGGACTTTTAGAAATGTGTTTTGTTGCCTGTTCTGCCTCTAATTATTTATCTTTTTGGAGAAAAGGCTGAATATTAATAGTTATGTTAACAATAGCCATACTAGCTGTTGTTTACTGGATATTTATAAAATGTGCACAGATGTGTAAAAAGGGATTTTATAGATATATTATGTCAATTAAAACTCAAGTAAATATTATGTAGATATTACTACTAATCTGTATTTAAAACCTGAGGAAAGCTGGAAACCCTGAGCACGTAGCTAAGTGCCAGAGCTCAGATTTTAACACACAGCCAGACATCTGCAAAGCCCATGTTCCTGCCCACCTCCCTCAGATCTAAACTGACTAGCTGAGGCCATGCAGTTCAAAGGTGATATTTCATTAATAGATAACTCAAAGGTGGACCTCAAGATTAGTTTCGAATAGAGAAGATTTCAGTAGTTCACACTGAAATCAGTGGTATTACTGTTTCTAAAATAAGCTACAATATTTCACCGAAGAAACAATGAAGAAGAAAATTGATCTCACTGAGTTTTAAGTAACTTCCTCTAACCTCTCAATATCAATAGAATTAAGAATAAAAAATGAATTAAACTTTAGCAGTACAGTGCAGACATTCTGGTATAGAATTTAATACTGTTTACTTAGATACTAAGTTTAAAAAGATAACAATAAATTTTAAGCAATTCTATCCAGAAAGACAGGTATGATGTAATCAACATATTAGAGGCAAAGGAAAGTATTTAGGGACAGACCTCAGTTGCATCATTTAAGCTGTAGCTTTTAGAGAAGATAATTAACCTCCCTGAGCCTATTTCCCTCTTTAAAAGTGAGGATAAGCAAATATCTACCTTTAACAGCTGTTGTGAAGACAGTCTGAAAGAGTGTATACCCAGAAAACAGCAATTGCTATTTCTGATACTTATAACCAAAAAATTTAAAATATTTTAGCCAAAAGTAAACCTTCAGAAAGTCCATTACATAAGACATAAGTCTTTACATAAGTCCATTACATAAGTCTTTACATAAGAAAATATTTATGGTAAAGTAAATAGTATGTTCCAAGAAAGGCTTTCATCTCTTTTTTTTTTGAAGATATAGTGAAAACAAAATAACCTACCATTGGTTTTCCATTTAAAATCGGCGTTACAATAACCTTCTTCATAAACCAAGTTCCGTCCATGTCCATTTTATTCTCTATTAACAAGCTATCATTTTAAAATTTAACTTTTTCTGACCATTAAAGAAACAAGTTTGAACCAGAAATTCAGGAGAAGGTGGGACCAAGTTAACGCAAGTAAGCAGAACTGCATTTTGCTATCAATCATTACTGATCCTACACTGGAGCCTGAACAAAGAACATTCACTAAATTAAAATTCACAAACATCTCAATTTAGTAGTGACTTTCAACTTCACGGCAGTATGAAAGAAAAGCTGGCATGTGCATTATTTCAATATTGTAACTATCAAAGAATCTACCACCTAACAAACCACAGAGCCATCAGCTGGCTACACTTTACACAGCTGGCTTCAGCTGGCACATTTACTTTAGGTAGTACAAACATTCCTCATAAAGAGTCTATAAAACAATATTTAATGGCATCTTTAAAACTGCAACAAGAAAAATGAAAATGAAATGATCCTTGAGCAAAATGTTTCTATGCATGACAAGACATCATTTAATTTACCCCACTGGTTAATTTTTATTTTTATACTTACTGGAGAAGGTACACTTATAACCACCACCCATACCTAAGTGTTTTAATTTCAGAATACAATTCAATCACAGGCAGCAATACTTATTAAATCTTCATACTTCTATAGAAAGAGTATGTGTGGCAACATATATTAATGATTATATCTTAATTCTTTCATTCTGTCCACAGTTGCACAATTTAAGATTTCCAAGCATTTAATTTTCTCAGTTGTGAATAACCTCTTGATTTCAATAAGACAAAGTTTCTTGAGGAAAGCACAAACACAAACTATTGTATCAATATGTCTTACTATATGGCCAGGAAAGCAAGGAAAATGAGGTAGGAGATAGGGTGGAAATGGCAGAAAACTGGGTTATGCTTCAACAAGCTTTAAACTACCTATAATTTTTATACCAACTTTTTTGGAAGTTCGTTTTAAATACATTTGAAAAATAAAATGATGGCTTAAATCAAACACTTCCCAATACAGACAGTAGTACCTTATCATGCTGTATTTGAATCACTCACCAAAGTTCGGTCAGGTTCTCCATCTGCCAAACTTGCCTCCATAGTGAAAGAAGATAGGTTTACACTTCTCTTTCCATTAATGTTTAGCCATCCTGTAAACTTGGAAATCCTAGAAGAAGAAAATCATACACATTAGTTCTGGTATAAAACTGTGATAAGTGGAAAATAAAACATCAAGTATACAAGGATGGAGATACCATTTTAGGCTGAGCTTATCAGGAAAATTCAATAATGGAGAAACAGATTTTGACCTGGGCCTTGAAGAACGGTAAAAGTTCAGAAAAAAATGAATGACAATATTCAAGTGAGGAGGAAAACCAAGAGCCAGGTTAAAGATATGAGACTGTTCAAAATTTGAAAATATGCTTAAACCTACTTATAACTGAGGAAATAAAATTAGATTCTTTTTCATTATTACACTGGCAAAAACTAAGTGTGCTACCATCCAATGTTGGCACAAATGTGGGAAAATGTTCTCAAACACTTTTGTGAATAGAATGTAAACTGAAACAATTTAGGAGAGGACAATTTAATGAGAGAACATAATATATAAAAAACTTTGTGCTTCTGAATTTTTCATTTTTACAATGAATATCTATTATTTTTATACTTATTTTTAAGTCTTAGAATTATGTCTTCACAAGTCTTTTCCTTTGAGCTTTTCAACAAAGCCTCCAAGATGAACTCCTATAATAATTATATATATCCAGAAGTCTCTAATAATTCTTTCTTAAAACCATTAACAAAATTAAAACCAAAAAATAGGTAGATTTCTAGTCATTTCTTGGAGTTCCAAATCATTTTCTTGTTTTTGCAGGTATAAAAGGCTGCACTGAAATATAAATACAGGATGATCATCCTGTGGATAAGAGTCAGCATCTTTCCCCAGCCAACCCTATCACTGTCCAATGGGCTCACAACGTTGCCATGGTGGTAGGGATGAAGGTCATGCCCGGGTTCAGCAGCATGAACCTCCACTCACCGAGGCCAGTCGGCTACTGTCACTGTTGATCATCAAATCTGCCTGCAGCAGAGACCTACACTGAGCCCCAGTGTGGCACTATTCCCCGGGGTGATCAGCCAGCTACCTGCGACACGCTGATTACACTGGACTTCTGGCTCCCCTGGTGGCGCAGATGGCAAAGAATCTGCTTGCAGTGGGGGAGACCCAGGTTCAATCCCTGGGTCAGGAAGATCCCCTGGAGAAGGGAATGGCAACCCACTCCAGTATTCTTGCCTGGAGAATTCTACAGACAGAGGAGCCTGAGCCTGGAGAGCTACAGTCCATGTGGTTACAAAGAATCAGACAAGACTTAGCAATTAACACACTATCATGGAAGGGGCAGTGCTTTATTCTAGCTGAAACAGACACTTACTCTGTATATAGATTTGCCTTTCCTGCACAAAATGCTTCTGCCAAAACTATCCACAGACTTACAGAATGCCTTATCTACTTTCTCCCATTATTCTATAAAGCCTGCTGCTGACCAAGGAACTCATTTCACAGCAAAAAACAAAAAAGAAAAAGTGTGGCAATGGCCTAGGGAATTCACTGGTCTTACTATAATCTGTATAATCCTGAAACAGCCGGCTTGATAGAACAGTGGCATGACCTTTTGAAGCCTCAGCTATAACACCAGCCAGGTGGCAATACCTTGCACGCCTGGGCAAAGATCCCCCAAAAGTTCTATGTGCTATGAACATCCAATATATGGTGCTGCTTGTTGCATAGCCAAGATTCACAGGTCCAAGAATCAGAGGAAACAGAAGTGACACCATTTATCGGCCCACAAGCAAAAATTTTTATTTTATCATTATCACAATGTTGTGCTAGCTTCTGATGTACAGCAAAGATTCAGATATAAACATATAATACCCACACATACACACATACTCTTTTCCATTATGGTTTATTAGAGGACGCTGAATACACTTCCTTCTGCTATACAGTAGGACCCTGCTGTTTATCCATTTTGTACACAGTAGGTTGAATCTGCTAAGCGCGAACTCCTCATTTATCTGCCCCCACTCCCCTCCCCCCTTTGGTGACCGTACGTAGGTTTGTCTTCTGTATCTGTGAGTCTGTTTCTGTTTCCTAAGTGAGTTCATGCCCTATTTTAGATTTCACATATAGGTGGTATCATGTGGTATTTCTTTTTCTGACTTCACTTAGCATGATAATCTTTAGGCCTATCCATGAGGCTGCAAATGGCATTATTCCATTCTTTTTTTTATTTCATTCTTTTTATAGCTAAGCAGTGTTCCACTGTGTATATATACCACATCTTGACCCATTCATCAGTAGATGGACATGTAGGTTGCTTCCATGACTTGGCTATTGTAAAATGCAATTAGAGTTTTCTCCTGACATATATCCAGGAATAGGATTCCTGGATCTTATGGTAACTCTATTTTTAGTTTTCTGAGGAACCTCCATACTGTTTTCCATAGTGGCTAGAGCAGCTTACATACTCATCAACAGTGCAGGTGGGTTCCCTTTTCTCCACATCCTCTTCAGCATTTGTTATTTGTAGACTTTTTTTAATGATGATCAATCTGACCAGCATGAGGTGGTACCTCACTGTAGTTTTGATTCGCATTTCTCATACTTAGCGATGTTGAGCATTTTTTCAGTGCCTACTGGCCATCTGTATGCCTTCTTTGGAGAAACATCCATTTAGGTCTTTTCATTTTTTGTCTGGGTCAGTTTTTTGTTACTGAGTTGTTATCAGCTTGTTCGTATACTTTAGAAACTAGGCCCATTTTGGTCGAATTGTTCACAAATATTTTCCCTAGTCCCTATGTTGTCTTTTCACTTTATTTATGGTTTCCTTTGCTGTGCAAAAGCTTACAAATTTGATTAGACTGCAGTTGTTTATTTTTGCTTTTATTTCTATAGTCTTGGGAGACTGACCTAAGAAAACAATGGTAAAATTTATGTCAGAGTAGGTTTTGTCTGTATTCTCTTCTAGGAGTTTAATGGTGTCGTGTCTTACATTGAAGTCCTTGAGTCATTTTGAGTTTACTTTCGTGTATGGTGTGAGCTTGTGTTCTAACTTCATTGATTTACATGCAGCTGTCAAGCTTTCCCAACACCACTCACTAGTAAAATGTTTCTGTTTCCTCTTCCCACAACCTTTGCTCTGCTGGTCTAGAGGTCTTAGTCCCAGAGGAAGGAACGCTCCCTCTGAACTGGAAGTTAAGCCTGCCCGCTGGCCACTTTAAGCTTCCCGTGCTCTGAATCAGCAGGCAGAGGAGGGGCTTACTCTGCTGGCCCGGGTAACTGACTCTAACTATCGAGGAGGAGTGGGACTATAACTATGACTTACCACAGTGGTGGTAAGGAAGAGTGCGCTGGGTACTGCAGATCCCCAAGGGCGTCTCTTAGCACTGCCACCTCTTACGATTAAACTCAACAGGAAACTGCAATAGCCCAACCTAGGCAGGACTGCTACTGACTCAAACCCTTCAGAAACAAAAGTCTGGGTCACTCTACCAGTAAAGAACTATGGCTATCTGAGGTGCATGCCGAGGGCAAAGGAATACAAAAAGGGTAGTGGAAGAAGGAATTTATAAATCTCAGATATCACTACATTACCAGTTACGGAAATGAGAATTGTAATTGTTACAAGTATTTTTCCCTTATTTTATTATGAAGGTTGTATACCGTGTGTTATATATGCTGTGTATACTCATCAAATAATTGGTTTCTTCTCTCTTCTTATCATATAACATAAGATACACTGACTTTGCATCACAGTAGTTAATTTCTCTTAACTTTATATCAATATTTAACTTACAGGATATCAAGGAGAGTGAACGTCACCCAAGGACTTTGCAGCCTGCCCTGCAATTTCAGGCTTGCCAGCCCCCACAATCACATGAGCCAATACCTTAAAATAAATCCATCTCTTTCTTCCCCTCTTTCTTCCTGTATATACGTTTATCTAATTGGTTCTGTTTCTCCAGAGAATCCTGACCAATAGACTAAGCATGCGTGTATTCATATCTTATCCATACAGACATAGATGTATCTATCTCACTGTTCATCCTCACCACCTTCCATGTGCTCCTCTGTATCTCCTCTTTCACAAAAGTTAAAAGGATGAGAATTCCATTTTACAAATCTTTGATCCCGGAATTCTGTATGTGATTTACATTCTGCAAATGCAATGCATTTACGCAGCATTTGGAAGGCAGAAGAGAGACAGAACAAAGCCATCCTTCTGAATGCAGCAGACCTGGACTGTGACAGATAAGAGGTTTTACAGTAATCACCGAATGCTCCCCCGCCAGCTCCCTATGTTGGCACTACCCGCAAGCCGTATCAGCAGCAGCAGTGAAAGCTGATAACAGTCTTTCAAGCTCCACACCTACAGTTTTTCCAATACATTTTAAGAATCTAATTCCTCTTACTAGTTTTCCTTTTGCTTTAAGTACCTATAGTGATTTGTTCTCCTCAATGAACCTGGCCTGACAAGAGTTTTTAAAAACTAATAATTAAAATATATTGTACATTAGATACTAATCAGTGTGGAGAAGAAAAAATAGGAAGGGAGCAATTATATGACATGTACAGTAACAGGGAGAATTTTAGATAAGAATGAATCTGAGTCAAGATCTCAGTAACATGAGGGGGTGAGCTGCTCAAGTATCCAGAAAACCCTTCCAGGCAGAAAAGGAAACAGCAAACACAGAGATCCCAAGGCAGGAGCAAGAGGCATGTTTAAAGAGCAGCAAAGAGAGCCTTTCTTGGTGGTCCAGTGATTAAGACTCTGTGCTTCCAATGTAGTGGGTGTGAGTTTGATATCTGGTTGGGGAATAAGATCCCACATGCCGTGCAGCATGGCTAGAAGATTAAAAAAAATAGAAAAAGGTTTTTGAATTGACTAACAAAGCAAAATTCACATTATGTAGTTTATATGCACACACCCAAAACAATACAAATGGTACTTTATAACGCAAAAGGTGAGAGTACAGAATAAAGATAAAATATTTAAAAAATAAGATAAAGAACAGCAAGAAGACTAACATGGCAAGTTGAATAAGGAAAAGAGTAATGAGTAATAAGAACAGAAAGATAACTATGTCCCAAATCACCAAGCCTCG